GTTTCTTACTGAAATAATTTTTAAATGTGGTCAATCAGTAAGTTTAATTTTTTAATCGAGAGATTTTTAGAATGGTGGCTCGACAGCAGCAAATGGAAGAGGATGCAGTTCCAGCTTCTAAGGAGCCTCCTAAGTTTTCGAGTACCCTAAAGAATTTGAGTTTAATAGAAGGTCAGACTGCTCTTCTAGAGTGTAAATTTTCGCCCACCGATGACCCGAACCTTAAAATTGCTTGGTTATTAAACGGGAAGGTAAGCACAGAAATAAAAAAAATCCTTCTGATACAAAATGTTTTGATGTTTTTCAATAATTTAGGTAGTTTGTCTAAGGCCCATACTTTCTTTTTTGAAACGTTTTTATTTTACAGGCGCTTCTCGCTAGTTCTCGTGTTACCACGTTGACGGACTTCGGTCATGCATTGCTTGAAATTAATCCAGTTACTGTCTTTGATAGAGGAGAATACACTGTCGTAGCAGTGAATACACTGGGTGAAGCTCGCCAAACAGCTATTGTCGAAATTGTTGGTACGTATCTTGTTTCTGAAAGCACCGTAACAGAAAATTATTTTTGGCTACTCTTAATAATTTAAGAATGAAAGTTAACGACTATTAAAGCCAAGCATTACTGTAATGTCATTGTCGTATGAATAATCGAATAAATTTTGCCGAGAAAAGAAGGAGGGAAAAGCTTTTTTCTTTAATTGAAAGAAACAGATACGTTGGCTTTGGGAAGCCCAAAGAGTTTTAAAATGCAATACTCAAAACAAAGAGATTTTTGTTATAGACTGACAGAAGTGCTTAAAAATAGCTGTTTTAAAAAATCGCTTTATATGCAGGACAAAGAAACGCTCTGAGTGACGCCTCCAACAGGATAGCTACTAAAAGGCAAGAAACCGTTACGAGTAAACCTGCCCCACCCGCCAGAATCATGGAACCACCAAACTTTCATAGCGATTTACGGTCCACTGAAGTTTTTGAGGGATCACATGTTCATTTAGAGGCTAAATTAACTCCAATTGAAGACCCTGACCTTGTCATTGAATGGTTCTTTAATGGAGAGCTCATCAAGGAAGGTTTGTTCAGAAAGAAAAAACTTCAATGAAATTAAAAATTCCCGCTTCAAAAGCCACTTTCCTTTTGTTAGAAGGTTTCATGCTTTTGCCTTTGCTAAAAACCAGGATACTGAGTATTTTGAAACGGAGCATTTTTTTAGGAAGCAGAACTCGCATGGTGCACGAATTTGGATTTGCTACCTTGGACATATTTGAAGTAACAGCGGAAGACGGTGGTGTGTACACATGTCGCGCCACAAATGTTATAGGATCAGCGGAAACCTATGCTACTGTTATTGTACAACGTAAGTTTTCAGCCTAAACCATCGTTGTAGACGGTCTTCTAACTTGTTCGGGTACTTTTAAGGATCGGTTCCGAGGCCTGAAAGTTCCCAGCAAATAATTGACGTTGAAGACGCACGAGAAATGCAGTATACAAAAGAAAGCTATACTCAGGCTCCGGTGTTTCAAACAAAGGTTTTTTTAACTGTTTTGCCAAAACGATTTTTGAATAGTCAAGAGCAAAAGGGTTTTTCAAACAAGATAACTATCTCATCCAAAATTCCTGAAGGTCACTAAAGTAAATGTGGACCAATGAAGGTTTATTAAGATTCTTGACTATCACTGTGATAAAGAACTTGGACGTTCCTATTTTGAAGCTCGAATCTTGCCAACAAATGATCCATCACTGCTTGTAATTTGGCTTAAAGATGGCCAGCCACTTGCGGCAGCAAACCGCATTCAGGTTAAATATTTTTTTAAAAAAGTAGTTCTCTGCAAATTCTTTTAAGGATGATGTTTTCACCGACGGTAAATGTTCTATTGTGATAAAATGGTTTTAACCTAGTTTTTTATTATAGACTTTTCACGAATTTGGATGTGTCTCCTTGACATTGAATCCGACTTATCCGGAAGATGCTGGGCAATATACGTGCATCTTAAGAAACGCTTGTGGAGAAACAAACTGCTCAGCACAGTTAACTACAACTTTCAGTGCACCATTGCAGTTAGACTCAAAACATGAAGAGTCTTTAGCTCAGATTGGGTATCTTGAAGGACATCAGGTGACAGTTCTCTCCTATTTTCAGCTGAAGACAGTAATCTAGTACCGACAAACGAACAGTCATTTTTACTCAGTGTTTAGGGCTTTATTAAAACCATCTTTATCAACGGTTGTTTTTTTTTTTCAATTTTTTACAAATACTGTATCGAATATTGTTTTAAATATCGTTTGTATTTTTTGACCTTAATTTTGCGGCTGGTTTATAGCAGAAGCACTAGTTTAGCTGTTAATGGCAAACAGAATACTTTATATTACATTGTCGTTCAATACTTTTTTGGAGAATCTACTGAGGAAAAATTTTAGATTTTTTTGCGCGTGTTAAGAAGTTGTCAAAAGTTGAAGTTTTATCTGAATGGTCTGATTCGAAATAATGGGATGCGAGGCCTAGAAATTTTTATTTTTTGTAATATCTGTTTAGGATCTCAGATGTTTGTTTTCAAAATACTTTTGCCATTTGAAATACTTGTTCAGTTTTTTATCTTTCGTTTAGAATTTTTTGACGATGCTTTTCAGGTTTGAATTGAGGCTATATCTAAACCTTGAGTTGACAATTAAGAAACCAAATTTCTTTAACTATATGCTCAACAGTTTTTTGAGCGGGATATCATGTTTGAAATCCTGAGATCATTATCCTTGTTCTGTGATTTTCAATTCCTTCATTTTTAAGTCGAAGCGCATTTTTTGGTACTTGATTTCTTCATTTTTAGAGCATAATAATTTTTTTGATTTTGAAATCTTTTTTTAACAAGAATTTTGCGCCGTTTTTGAGAATCGTATGAGGCGTAGGAATGTGTTGACGTTCTGCTTTGGCAGTTGAACCTTTATAACAGGGAAAACACAACATCTATTTGTAAAAGTACTAGCTTCTAACTTACAAATTCGTGTATCGCGAAATAACAAGTACAAAAAAACAGTCAGTAATAGACCAAACTGAAATACAAGGAAATTAAATGGTTAAAGCAACAAAAAAGGAAATTAGTTAGCCGGCTGTCACGAAAAAGTCAACACTGCACTGTCTTTGTTCTATTTTTCGATTTCTTTTGGCTGGTTGGTCTCTGGTAACATGCGAATTTTAGCTACATCGTGATTGTCTCACTGACACTGATCGCCATCAAGGTTCCAATTAGGCGTATCACTTCTAGGTTTCTCGTCATTAGCAAGAATAGCACTACACTCTGCTTAAAGGGACTGATGAAATAGACAGCACATTTTGAAAGCTTTTTTTACCTCACCTTTAATACCAAAAACTTCTCTTACACTTTAGGTATTATGCACCTAAAGTCAAATTTTTGAAACTGTCATCTCTACCCAGCAAGTAACTCGAAGAATTTTAACTGCTCTTATTTTTCTGTACGATTAAAAACGTGTTTCTTTGAAGCTTTCAATGGTGTCTATTTCGCTTTTGTTAATAAGTTTATTACATTGAAAGTTGGCACTGTAAACTAATTTTGAAATTTTTTATTCTATAGAAATTGAAAATGAATTTCGCTGCATATTTTAAAAGTTAGCGTGTTGATTAACTGCTTTTTGTTTTTTTCGTAAACATTTATATTTGCAGTAACTAGTGGGAAAAATACCTAAAAAAAGCAGTATTTTTTAGGTGCATATTGGACCACAGGAGATTGATCGGCCAGAAGAATTTTTCAGCATGGAACCTCCCCGGTTCGCTCGTCCGTTAGCAAGCAGGATTGAGGTTGACGAAAATGAACCTGTCCATTTTGAGTGTCGTCTCCAACCAGCTAGTGATGTAAAAATGGCCGTGGATTGGTCTGTTTTTAATTGTTCTCCAATTTCAAAAATATAATTTTGCTGCTAATATATTATTTAAAATAATTTGTATAAAAACTGAAGAATTAACAGGACTGCAACTATAAACAAAATGAAAAGGTTATCAAAATGAATAGAGTGCATTGAAAAAGGTTAGCTATATTGAGGTTTTAAGGTATCATGACGGAGTTCCTTTACCTGCAGCCCACCGTTTCAAGCCAATGTTCGACTTTGGCTACGTAGCACTTGATATTCTGTATGTTTATCCAGAAGATTCTGGCACTTATACCTTAGTTGCTCGTAATGAGCTTGGAGAGATCGAATCAAGTCTTGATCTTATTGTGCATCCTCATAAAACACTTTATACGGAGCCTCAACACCCGGAAGGTTGTGTTTGCGCAATAGTTTTGCAGTAGTTTTGTTAAAAATCAACAAAGTAGGTTATATATCAATTTTTCACTATAAAACCAACTGGAGTGAATTTTTTTTTAGGCCTGGATAGGATACAAGAGTTAGAACAAAGCAGAATTCGTCCTCTTGAACACCCAGCTGACAGGGAATGTGATGCGCCTCCGCTGTTTATTGGTGAGCTTGAAAACTTGGAACTCAATGAAAATGATGACTTGCACCTAGAATTGAAGGTAAATTTTTTGATTTAAAACCTCTAATTAAATTAAACTTTATTTTTTCACTTTAACGCTTTGAGAGTATAAATGACATATGTTTCAGTTAGAACCGGTAAATGACCCAACTATGGTAGTAGAATGGTTTGTAAATGGCCGACCGTTGACTACTGGCTCAAGAATTAAACCACAGTTTGATTTTGGATTTTTATCTGTTGATTTACGTGGCGTGATAGCTGAAGATTCTGGTGTGTACTGCGTCAGAGCAACAAACGCCTTAGGAGAGGCAGTAAAGCAGTGTACAATTAACGTTACTCGTAAGTGATGTATTTTACAAGTGTCGCTTGTAACTGCCTTGGTACGAGCGGCGATTGCTACATTAAATTTAATTTTACTTGTCTTTGACGGGTTGAAAATTATCATTAGCAGTCATTTATTCTAGCTAGAATGGCAATTGTTTCTGAGACACAGCATGAGGAAAGTCTCGACAAGATCTACAAAATTGAAAACATGAAAAAATATGGACGTGAAGAAGTCGTTGACAGAGTTCCACAAGTAATCAAAACCATTTAACAAAAGCTCAATTTGTTATTACCGGACAGCGTTATTATCTATTTTGTGTTTTAGGAATCTCCGAGCTTCGTACAGCCATTGGAAAGCGATCTTGGGGAGATTGAAGAAGGAGCTCCAGTTCACCTTGAATGTCAAGTGAGGCCGATTGGCGACAATTCTCTAAAGATTTTGTGGTTGAAAGATGGAAGACCAATTCCAACAGGTAGATCATGTATTTTTTTTGAGCGCTTAATTTTTTGGAAATCTAATACAGAAGAACAAAAAAAAATCACCATTGTGGTTCTGCCAGTAATATTGTGCGCAAAAGCTGACGTACTTTTCAAGAACTGTAGGCAATAGCATCTATTAAATTTTTTAATGATTTTCAATTAAAAACTTTTTTGTTGCTACAATATCGTTATTTTTAAGGCCATCGATTCCGTACCTTCCATGACTTTGGTTTTGTTTCGTTGGACATTTTGGATGTTTACGCGGAAGATAGTGGTAAATATACTTGTATCGCTAAGAACGATTTTGGTGAAACCCAAAGTAGCTCAACATTTATTTGTCATGGTAAGTAAATTGATGTTAATGAACTGTATAGAACGTTCACTTTTGAGCAAAAGTGCATCGCTGTATTGACTTTTAATTTGGTAACTCTTAGAAACTGTCAAGAGTCGTATAGTTTACTGTTTTAGTGGATGTGTTGAACTTAAACACAACCCCAAATTTTTCATTTGCCAATCTAGTTTACCAAAACAAACATTCGATTTTGTTTCGTAACAAAACTTCTATAAACTTCTATGTTGAAAGGAAAATCGGATTTTCTTTGCAGTCGAAGTGCGACATTTTGGTTTTCATTCTGCAGGTTTTCGCCACATACCCAGTTGTTTTTGTTTGTATTGTAGGCACACTATTTCTATTGCTGTTTTTATAGTGTACAAATAATGCGTATTTTGACTGTTTGCGAAAAGCTTTACAACAACATACCAATTTTTTTCTGAGTGGAATTTTAGCTTTGAAACAATTTAAAGAAAGTTGAAATGAAAAATTAAGAAAAAAGCTCTGAAAAAGTTTTGTCAATAATTATTCAAAATTTCTACTTCTAATTTGATTTTTTCTACATACTTTCAGTTTTCAGTGATTGAAAAAAAAACAGTTAAATGTAACGTAAAGAAGTAACAACAATTTGAAAAAAACTTTCCAAAAGTTCTTTTGAAAATTTATACAAAAATGAGTTATGTATGAAAAATGAACTTTTTAAGTGGTAAAGTACAGATATAAGAAACTGGCTAGGCAGAGAGAATTTCTGAGATTTATAGCCATTAAGATTTATTCCTTTTTTTAAAATCTTTTGGCATTTTAGACAATACAAAAATTCTAGCCGAAATTTTTGAAACTAAAAATCTACTAGAAAAATATAACTGATGATTTCTTTGTGGCTGGTAGAACCAGTGCCGTACGTTAATCTGTTTAAGAGCAGTTTGCTTACGTTTAGTTAAGACTTTGCTGTTGTAAGTTAGAACATCAACTGGAAGCTCACCAATTCACTTACTGCAAATTTGAGCAGTACTGCTCAACTGGTATTTTGCTGTGATCACATCAGATGAGCAGCGCTTTGCATCATAAAACTGGTATTGAACTATACTTTACTGCTTCGCCATCTTCAGCAAAGTCTACGATTGTTGGTCATACAAACCATCCTAGCAGTGTTGCTCGAATTCAAGAGATTGAGGCTCCAAAACCGGCAGCCGAAGAAGTTCCTGATGTTACAATCCCAGTAGGTTTAAGTTTTTTTTGTAGAAGTCAGCGAATTTATTGTTGAAAAACTTATAAATCTTGAAACATTCAAGTAGTTTTTTGTTCTAAAGAAGAAGTATTAGTTCTTAGTAATGATTATTTATGAACCAGCCTTGTAGCGTCATACAGTCAAAATGAGTAAGTTTCTGGTCAAAATTCTAATATTATTGAACTACTGAAAGCGAATGCAGAAAAGTGTAATCAAACGCTATTTTCAAAAAGAATTTGGTGTTATAAATTGGTCAAGTTATTTCTATTTAAGGCGCCTCAGTTTGTTAAAGCGCTTGGTGATGGCAGTACAATTGGTGTTACCGAAGGAGACAATGTTTATTTGGAAGCTCAAGTAACTCCAACCGATGACAGTTCGATGACAGTAAGTAACCGAGCGCAGCTTTAGTTACCAAATTTAATTTTTATGATAGCACGCAACGTGCGTGAAATTTCAGTATGAGTGGCTGTTGAACAACAGGCCGTTAATGAAGGCACATCGATTTGTTCTTACTCATGACTTTGGATACATAGCACTGAATATCCTTTATATTTATCCTGAAGACAGCGGTACCTATACTCTCGTTGTAAAAAATAGGTCTGGTGAATGTCAGTCATCTGTTAATATTGACTGTGCGGTTAAAGACAGTATGGTTAGTTTTAGTTGTTCTTCATTTCTGCTACAATTTGTAAAATTCTTTGATACCGGCAAAAGAAAAATCTGATTTTGCATTATAAATAATAAAAATGGAGAAAAATTTCTGTTTCAGTCGGTAAATAGATTTACT